TTGTGGGGGAACTGTATAAGCCTATCTGGACATGATTATAAATGAATTCTGATCACATTTTCTACAATGAGATAAATGACTTTGGATTTGAAACCAGATGCTTTTAATTACTGCTTTTCTTTGTTACACGAAGCTCAGTGCAGCACCTGTACATTGTTCTTGCTTTGGACAGATGTACTGATGCCTCTTTTGCGTGCTCAGATCCATAACACCGAGATAAATTATGATGGGTTCTTGGCTTCCTCCATTGAAAATGTTTTCAGCTGTCAGAGATATCTGTTTCTTGTTATTGGTTTCAGTGCTTTTGAAAGAAAGACTAAAACACTGACTTGTGTATTCTGTTATGGATGAAGAGTATTCTCCAGTGGAATCCGCAGTGGATGAGGGATGTCTCTCCATGGTCCTTGGAACTGTTATAAAAACTGTGTAGGTATTTAGCTCTCCAGAGTATTTATTGAGAGTAAAAGTTGGATTCCTATAAAGATTCTAGCAATGTGTCAGTTCCTAGTCAATTGATTTATGTGAGCTCACGAACAGCACTAACAAGATCAATTAATAAATAAGATTAATAAAAATTAGGCACAACAACTAAGACACCTACTCGTCTCTTGAAATAATGAGAATCAGGAACATAAATGTATTTCCCACCTGGCCTGGATCCAGAGGAGATAGCACAGTGTGTTGAAAACAATCTCCCCCATGTAACACACAAGATTTTATCCTGTGTGTTTAGTTTCAGCCTTATTCAGGGGTTTCAGATCTGGTGTTCCTGGCTGAGCAGGAGGGAGGCTCTGTGCACCTCGTGTTACCTTACATGAACAGAAATGAAGGGCTACATCTGTAACAGAGAAGTCTTTACACTGAAGTATTTCTGTGGTATTTGAAATAACAGGTGCTAAGAAGCAAGCAAACAAAAATTCTTAAGCTTAAGCAGCCTGATTAAAATGTCTCTTTTCACTTGATAGTTTTTAAGTCCCATTTGTTGTGCTTTTTTTTGTATGGGTAAGTGGCACTTCAGGGGGGTCTGGCACTTGGTTTGGGCTGGGGAGAAGCTCAGGCAAAAGAGAGCTGTGTAAGCTCCTTCCTCTAACCTTTGCTTACTTAATCCTTTATACTAAAGGCTCAGAAGATTGCGTTCAGAGTCCTCATTAATCATCACCTATGGACATCACAGATGTCTTAATCCCACTAGTTCTTCATTTGCTGTTGTGTTTACAGAGCAGAAATGACCTAAATTACCACAGGAATATGAAAAAATAGTTTCACTTTCCTTCCCCTTGGAGACACATCACCTTCCCAATAAAGTCATTATTAGTCAGTGGAGCAGCTTCTGTTGGGAACATAAGTGCTGTTTGTCACAGGGAGCACAAGTGACAGAGAGCCTCAGAGTCACACACAGAGGGACCGTGTTCAGGTCCTACAAAGTGACCTTGTTGGGTCATTACACTAAATTGCTGCAAATCCCTAACTTGGTGCCACCACTCAAACTCACTTAACTTTAGTCGTATCAGTTTCATTCAAGCTGATAATTTATCACACTGAATATTCCACACTGGAGTTTACAGAGATAGCCTACAAGTGAAACTAAGTGCATTTTTAGATGGCTTGCATAATAACAGCTAAAAACTTTGTAGAAAACAAGCCAAGTGCAACATTATCCCAAGAATTAATACCAAAAGCTGTTTTTCTGCCTTCATTCTGCTACAAATCAAAATAGCCTATTTTTGCAATGGGCAAAATGAAACCAAGTTAGGCATTATACATGGCATATGCTAAAATAAACCTCTGCTACCTGAAATAAAAAATAAATGTATATTTAAACCCAGATCATGCCAAGCTCACTTTCTGCATGCCAAAATATTTCTCAGTCACCCACTTTTAGCTTAATTAATATCAATATAAGTACATTTTTTGGTGCAGCATATACTTCATACCAGAACTGGAGAAAACGCTCACCATACTGAGTGAAGCCAGTATAAATACATTTGGTAATGAAGTCAGATTTTGTTAGAACATATTCAAGTGAATTAGATAATTTTGTCAAACTATTTAAATGTCTCAGCAAACCATTTGGGAAAATTGAGTGCTGCATTTGGTATTGACTTTGGCAAGGGACGGTATAACATAGGGGTTTTTTTTGAAAAAAAAAAAAAAGAAATAAAAAGCTTTTAAATCAAATTCTGAATCTCATGTCAAACTTGAGTAGACTATTTGTACTCTGCCTTATGTAGTTTTTGGCATCTTGCATATTTGATGACTCAGTAATTAGATTTCTTGATAGTAATCACTTGGTTCATTCCACAGACTCAGACTATGCGATCCAGCCCTGTCATCGTCCTGATTCACAGGGCAGAAATTCCTTGCATTTACTTAAACACGAATGCGGAGACAGCTGACAAATGAGGGAAAACATTCCCTGTGTGCCAGAAAGCTGGAGCAGTTCACATGAAGAAAGGTAGTGTTAGGTGTTTCTTTCCCATTGTAAACCATATGTATGTTATACGAGTAGTGGCACTGCTACGAGCTGGCAGAGGGGGAACACTCCTGTAATCCAGTGGCTCCAGGCACTGGATTATTAAGTGATTTTGCCCAGTTAAATGGATGAATGCTTTAAACAAAACTGTGCTAAATGAAACTCGAGGACTATTAGTTCACACTCGGTTTCTGTACTTGCAATTAAGATGTCATGTACAGGCTGTATTTCAGCAGTCATTAATAATGTGAGCATAAACAATGAAATACAGCAGAAGGATCTTGGACTGGGTGTGACAATGCTGAATGCAGATTATTTTGAGTTTAGAAACTGGTATTTGAGATCCTGAAAAATTCCAAGTAATTATATCATGAAACTAGATGCTCTGTTTTAAAATAACTATTCAAAAATCCATTCCACTCTTCATTCCCTGATGTTTGGCTCATGGTTAGAAATCTGTTACCGTCCCACTCCCACATCTTGTCATAGGTTATTAACTACAGTGTTTGGGCAAAGGCTTTACTTAGGTATATGAGCACTGAGATAATAACTCAGCACCACTGTCCTCTCTGGGAAAGAATCCTACTGCACCAGAACCAAATCAACAGACACAATTCTGATGTAAACTTTGGCCTAAGCAAATGGCCAAAATGTCTGTAGCTCAGTGAGACTCGGCTCACTCA